AGATTTTGCGTCTTAAACTATGAATGTGTGTTTGTGTGTGTATACACATATAAATGGAATTGCAAAGTATAAATAACAATTAAAATATACACACTGCCTCGAGGTTCTTAGCTGGACTTCGTGAAGGTCAGTCTGGGGAAGTAGGCACGATTGTTTAATCACGTTTAACTTGTTTTGACAGGTTGAGCTCAGCTATTGATCTTGCCATTTGTGTTTGTAGCTAGGCTTACTTAGATGCCATATGTTCATCCACTTTGTCAAAGTTAAGATAATTCTTATGTTTAAGTGATCTGAAAATTGTTATCTTTAATTCCAACTGAACAGTGAAGGTGCGGGTGGTGGGCATGCTCCAGATATCATCAAAGTATGTGGTGTCAAAAATGTCATCCCGTCTTCAACCAACCCGACGCGGCCATATACAATAAATACCATAGATGAACATCTTGATATGTTGGTATGAGACGATTATACAATAAATGCTGAATTGCTCTACGTAGTTCTTTTTAGTAGCGTAATGGCAAATAATGCATGCAGATGGTTTGCCATCATCTCGACAAGAACATTCCAGAAGATGTAGCTTTTGCCGAGTCAAGGATAAGGGCTGAAACAATAGCTGCTGAGGACATATTGCATGATATCGGTGCAATTAGCATCATCTCTTCTGACTCACAAGCCATGGGTCGCATTGGAGAGGTTCTTAGTTTTTATTCACAGACTTTTTCTGGTATTATCATCTAGAATCTAGATTACTCTAAACTTCATCTTTTTTGTTAGGTTCTGTTAAGCGGTAAACTTCACAAAATTACTTACAGCACTTTAATGACTGGAAAATTACTTTGCTTCCTGATGCATAATTACCTATGTTGTTTATATGATCTACGGAAAAACTTTCAACAAAGGCTTATTGCAATAAACCTCTGTTGCTAGGTGATAAGCAGAACTTGGCAAACTGCTGATAAGATGAAGGCGCAGAGGGGACCCCTTGATCCTCGTGCAGCCGATGATGATAACTTGAGGATAAAGCGATATGTTGCGAAGTACACTATAAATCCAGCTATAACAAATGGGTTCAATAATTTTATCGGCTCGGTGGAGGTATACCAATTACACCATACGCTCCATTATCCTCCTACTAAACAGTTTTCGTTTTCACGTTTGTCCATTAACTACTAAACTTGTGAATCTCTCTTACTTGACGTGTGCTTAGCTTCTGCATCTTCAAAGGTGATTCTAGGGCTGTAGAAGTTAGTGGTGTTACTTCTAGCGGGGATTTCGCAGGTTCAAAATAAAGTAGAAATGTTGATGCAGTAATCCCCTCATAGGCAGGATAACAAATGCATCGTTACTGTTCAGAAGGTAGGAATTCACGTCGAAAACTCAGTTTTCGTTTACAAAACTCGGCAATGCACAAACTTTGCAGGAGAAGAAGCTGGCTGATCTGGTTTTATGGAAGCCAGCATTCTTTGGAGCAAAACCAGAAATGGTAATAAAAGGCGGTAAAATCGCTTGGGCCAATATGGGCGATCCAAATGCTAGCATACCAACTCCTGAACCGGTAAGAAGTAGTCTGAATTGCTCTTTCTTTCTGAGTGAGACGAGCTATTGCAAGGTCATTTTATCTTTAATTAAAAACCAACAAACACGAGCATATTCAATTCTGGAAGTTTCCAGGTTTATTATGTATCACAACCTCAAAAATAACAACTCGTCATTGACTCAATGTTCATGAAATCGATCGTAGGTGATATCAAGACCTATGTTTGGAGCATTCGGCAAGGCTGGAAGTGAAAACTCCATAGTTTTTGTTAGCAAGGCATCAATCTATTTAACTCTCTCTTCCTTTTTTCCTGCACCTAACTACCGTGGATTTAAGGTGACGTTTACTTTCGTTCTTTCTTTTCTCGCCTCTTAACTAGGCTGCTCTAAGAAACGGGGTAAAAGAGGCATACGGGCTTAAGAAGAGAGTGGAAGCGGTGTCTGGAGTTAGGGGACTCACGAAACTCAACATGAAACTGAACGATTCCCTTCCCGAGATCGCAGTGGATCCCGAGACGTACGTAGTTAAAGCAGACGGCGAAATCCTCACCTGCTCTCCAGCCACTTCGGTCCCTCTCTCTCGGAACTACTTCCTCTTTTAGGTACCTTTTTAAAATAAAATTCTCATTTAGTCCAAACCGTTAAAAATAGTAAAATACGCAACAAAGGGAAGGTAATGAAGCAAACCACAGGATCCTTTCCATAGCCATCACTCAAAACAGCATCTTCTTTTCTAAGGGCATGAGACAACTGGGTCAAAAGTATCATCAGTGAGGAAGGGAGCAACTTTTTCTAGAGAACAGCGACGGGAGACAGTCGTTGGTGGTGCCATTTCTTCTCTTGGAACACACAATTTCAGATGGTGCGTGTCACTTTCTTCTTCCAATTTCTCTATTTCGTATTTGGAATCTGTTTTCGGGGTTCTTAAAACACATAATAGCTGAGATAGATGGAAACCACTAAGGATAATGACTGCGTTTGCAACATGGATACCTATGTTGACTTTTCTTAGTTTACGAAGAGAAACATATTTCTATAGGCCACATGGGTTTCATGTGTCCGTAAATTATCAAGATTTGGCGTCTTAAACAGTTAAAACTATGAATGTGTGTTTGTGTGTGTATACATATATAAATGGAATTGCAAAGTATAAATAACAATTAAAATATACACACTGCCTCGAGGTTCTTAGCTGGACTTCGTGAAGGTCAGTCTGGGCTCTTTTCTATCTGCCACAACTCATCCAAGTTTGATGTGCGCTCACGCCCCTATTTTTATTATATCATGGACCATTTACACTTTAGCCTCAACAACAATATATATACTTTCATGCCAAATATATATATATATATATATATATATACACTTATTTATATTGTTGTTGCTGAAAGTAATGGTTGGTAGGAAATAATTGAAAAGGTAATACGTATACCCAAGTCTATGTCCACACAGGGTTCAACACGTTTCTCTGTTCAACATCTCAGCAGTAGATGTTCTTGTCTTGCACTAGTTGTAATAGTTTACAAATTAAGAAAAAAGCCAAAGATTAAATTAAGTTTTTTTTTGAATGATTAGTGAGAAGAGCTTAGTACTAGACAAAGGCCAATGATTAATAACCTAAATTGGTTAGTTCAATCGGTGGAACGAGAATGCAAATGTCTGTTTTGTCCTGAGTTCGAGTTTCAAGTCGGAGAGGATAGTATAATTCAAATGACATGAGTTGTTCCCGACTCCGAGATTAGTTTAGATTTTGATCTATGATATCCGGTTTTACCGCCTTTTATTTAGTGATTGTACATGCTGCCGGAGACATCAACTGAATAAGATCTGATCCTTTGATCGGATCAGCTTTTATTATCTTTAATGGGTTATACAATGGGCTATGCCAGTGGGAAACCAAACACTGGCTTGGTGGGGATCAAAGCGGCACGTGCTACAATTGAAGTATTATTATTAACTTGTTTGACAAAAAAAAAAGATGACCTAAGAGGTTCATTGATTATGTTTTCTCTAAAATTGAAGTATTATGAACTTGTTTGACAGAGAAAAGATTTCTCGTTACGATCATTTAGCACGTGTCATTTTGATAGTCAACGGTCAAATAATTATCGAAGTTCGAAGAGCGTTCCCAATGGTTAAAAAATAATAGTCTACTAATTTTCTTTTTATTTTTTAACAATAAATTCAAATTTTCTAATGGAAATGAATTGCACGAGGTCCACCGGCATCATCTCACGTCGTCCATGTCATTATTAATAAAGTAATAATATATATAAATATCTACACTCCGATACTGAAGAACCGAGAAGAAAACAAAAAAAAATGTTCGCAGTCTCTCCGGTGAAGACGACCTTCCACGGCGTCAAGCTAGGGCGATCTCCGCCGTTCTCCATCGCCGGAGAAAGGAGCTCGTTCCTCGCCCGACCGCGGTTCGAGCGGCATCGCTTACCTCGCTCCGGACAGGTCCGGGCAGTGATCAGCCGCGAAGAAAAGGCCGTCGAGGAGGCTGGGAAGAGCAGCGGATCTCCAATTTCAGCTCCAGATCAGTTGCCGCGACCTTCGTATGGCGGATCGAAGTCGGTGACTGCGGTGGTGAAGATACGGAAGAAGATGAAGGAGAAGCTGACGGAGAAGGTGGAGCATCAGCTGGAGCTTTTGATGAAAGCGATCGGGCAAGGGATTTTGCTTCAGCTTGTTAGCGAAGAAATCGATCCTGGTTAGGTTTCGCCCTCTCTTTACTGCTTTGAAATTCAAATTAGCCCTTTCTGTTTGTGCTTTTAGCGAATCGGGGAAATTTCTGCTCAGAAACTTAGTTGACGTTTTCAACAAAAAGACAAAAATTGAGAGCTTAGAGGACGTTGTTTGTTTCTGGGTTTTTTTTATGACTTTTCTCTTGAATTTCCATGCATTTTCTTACTCAAGATCATGACAGCTACTTCTAATGCATTTAATTATCATTATTGATTGCTGAAGCTACAAGTTGGGCACTGCTCTCTAAGATAAATGGATCATTGATTAATTAATAATCAGTAGATCCAATATTATAATCATAAGCTCTTAATTACATTAATGCTATTTTCTTTTTTTTTTCTTTATCTGATTATGTCTTATACTAGATGCAAATATTACTTTTTGATTGGATTTTTTTCTCTAAAAATGATATTTATCAATTTTCTATTTAGTGTCGTATATATTTGTTTTTTTATTTCTTCTGAATGTTGTTCGTATTGAAATTTTTTATTTATTTTATATTTGATATAGATTTTATTAAATTTTTAGATCATATACTAATTTTGTACCTCATAGCTCAATGATGCAACACTTCAATACTATGTAGAAATAAAATTAGTATAATATATATATATATATATATTGTATGTGAGGTTTTGGGTTCACTTTCCCACTCATCTACGTGCGTATCCCCCACTTCCATACCACCGTATCTTTTAGACTTTTACCAAACTAAATACCACTAATATCATATATTTCGATGTTTTTTTCATTTTTCTTTAATTAGTTTCTTTAATATTATCCAAGTTTTAATTGATATAAGATTTTTTCACAAAAATCTAGAAATCAGGTCAATCACGACTCACGATTACCTCGTTTAATTAATTAATTAATTAATTAAATCCAACATCCGAAGTTGTGATGAAAATCTTATTCCCGTCGGTTTCTCTGGCAAGCCCTTTGGTTTAGATAGTTGCAATGATATTGCAAATGTAAGAAATTATATGATGAAGAGTAAGTGAAGAAATGCTTCTTCTTGTTGTTTTCATGTTGCAGAGACGAAGACAGGCAGGAGGAGTTTGGAAACTCCAGTGAGAGGACTTCCAAGGATTTTGGAAAACTCCCACGTTGTCGGATACACAGCAGATTTCGCTGTCCCCTCGGATTTTGGAAGACCAGCCGCAATTATTGTCACCAACCTCCTCGGCAAAGAGTTCTACTTGTCGGAGATTATCATCCGTGATTCTGGTGAATCCATTCTCTTCCCTGGAAACTCATGGATCCACCCCAAGAAAGATAATCCCGAGTGTAGGGTCATCTTCAGAAGTCAAGTGAGTCTATTTTTCATGAAAAAGTTTTCAACTTTGTCCGGGATTCTTTCTTGTTTGAGTTTTGAGAAAACGATTCCTAACTCCGTGGCGACTTCAATTTTCTGTCTGCTGTGAAAAGGCGTACTTACCTTCCCAGACTCCTGCTGGGATCAAAGATCTACGTCAACAAGACTTGATCTGTGTTCGTGGTGATGGGAATGGACAGAGGCAGCCTCATGAGAGGATCTACGATTACGATGTTTATAACGATTTGGGCGATCCCCGGAAACCAGATCAAGCGAGACCCGTTTTGGGTGGTCCAGAAATGCCATATCCGAGACGGTGCAGGACTGGTCGGCCTCCAGTTCCAACAGGTGATCATCCCTTTGAGCATTTGATTCATCAAAGTCCATAAATTTGTACTTTGTCTTAATGCGAAACGGTTTTGGTTCTTGATTTCATGGATCGGTCAGATCCACAATTTGAGACCCGAGGAAAGCAGAAGGATGAATTTTATGTTCCGAGAGATGAAGCCTTTGAGGAAATCAAGAGAGATACTTTTTCAGCTGGACGGTTGAAGGCACTCCTTCACAATCTCGTGCCATCCATTGCTGCAGCATTGTCAAATTCAGACGTCCCCTTTAACTGCTTTTCCGACATTGATAACTTATACAAAGCCGGCATTGTCTTGAGAGATAGCGAGCCAAAAGCAACGGGCCTTGGCGGGTTTCTTGGCGGTTTCATGGATGGAATCCTTAACGTCGGAGAAAGACTATTCAGATATGACACTCCAGCCATCATAAAGAGTAATCTGCCAACTCTATTGCCTGATTCATCACTACGCCAAGTTTCTTCAGAAAGAAAACTCAATAGTTTTCCCATCTCGTGTGCTTTCTGTTTTCAATATACAGGGGACAGATTCGCATGGTTACGAGACAACGAATTTGCACGTCAAGCACTGGCTGGGGTCAATCCTGTGAACATTGAGCTGCTAAAGGTGTTGTACTGTCTAATATCTGCACATATACCGTCTTATCGGCTTTTTTTCCTTATTGGGGAAGTCGTAAAATGTTATTTGTGCTATGACAGGAGCTTCCAATTCGAAGCAAGCTTGACCCGGCTGTTTACGGGTCCCCTGAATCCGCTCTCACGGAAGAAGTGATTGCTCGAGAAGTTGAGCGTTATGGAATGACCGTTGAAAAGGTTAGATATCGTTTTCGTGAATACATGCATAGATATATATATGATCAGGTGCCTTAAGACATGTGAGTTTTTCGGTTGTTGCAGGCCCTCGAGGAGAAGAGATTGTTTCTTCTTGATTACCACGACTTGCTCATGCCGTTCGTCGATAAGATAAACTCCTTGGACAGGAAAACATACGCTTCCCGAACAGTTTTCTTCTTTTCAAAGTCGGGGACCCTTAGGCCGTTGGCTATAGAGCTTTCACTGCCTCCCACATCGGAGTCCAAGAACAAGTTCGTTTATACCCACGGGCATGACGGTACAACTCACTGGATTTGGAACCTAGCTAAAGCTCATGTCTGCTCAAATGATGCCGGTGTTCATCAACTCGTAAACCACTGGTAAGATGAATGTGATGGATTTTTCCCTCTGTATACGGTAGATCCGATATGAGATCTTTATTTTTGTGTGAAGGGTTTTGTATCTTTTCGGCTAAATTGTTCTTCGGCTTATATATATATCTTTCTGTGTCTGAGTGTGATTTCCAGGCTAAGGACACATGCTTGTATGGAGCCATACATCATTGCTACTAACAGACATCTGAGTTCGATGCATCCGATCTTCAAGATCCTTCATCCTCATATGCGTTACACTCTCGAGATTAATGCGCTTGCACGTCAGAGTCTGATAAATGGAGCTGGGATTATCGAAAGCTCCTTCACTCCCGGGAAATACGCCATGGAATTAAGCTCTGCAGCTTACAACAGTATGTGGCGTTTCGACATGGAAGGCCTTCCTGCT